ATGGGCACAGGAAGTGTTATTTTAGGTGTTGTTACCCCCCACTTCAACAAAAATCAAAAAGATATGAAAAACACTGCTCTATTTAAATATTTCCTGCATAGGACAATCCCTTACCTCTGTTTTGGTTGCTATTTTTGGATGCACTTAAATTAGTCAATGACCTCCCTGAATTGTGGTGCTCAGAACTGTATACTATATTCTAGGTATAGAATATGACTGACACAGAATAGAGAGGAACAATGATTCCTCTTGATCCTGATATGACATTTTTGCTGATGCAGCATGTAATCGTTGTTGCTTTTTGGGTGGAAGGGGCAGCTGCATCACATTGTTGTTGTGATGCAGGCTGTGATGCAGGCTGTGATCCATCTTTTACACTTGTACTATGGCCCACAACGATCCTCTGATCCATCCTGGATCAAGCTGAGGGATAGGTTGAGTGGCGTACTACAGTGCTCTGTTCTAGGCCCAGTATTGTTCAACACATTTATAAATAACTTGGATGAAGAAGTAGAAAATATGATTATCAAATTTGCAGGAGACACAGAGATGAGGGTGGAAGGAAATAACACTTTGAGAACAGAATACAGCTCAAGAGGATCATAAAAGACTGAAACAATCAGAAGAAACTGGAGTTTAATTTTCACAGAGAGAAATGCAAAGTCCTACATTTGAATCAGAAAACTCAAAGGCATAATATATGCACAGGTTGCATTCCCATTGTTAAACTAGATTTGAATGGAGGACAAACATTGATCAAGTTGATACTTCTTTAAGGCCATATTCTCCTTCTCTATCCTGTTTTCCTAATTTAATCCATTAACAGCCAGCGGTAGTGAACAAAATTAGCTGCATCCAATATACAGGTATAACAAAATATTTTATGTGACATAATAAAACCATATGTCAACTTTATAGATAAAAACGATCATTTTAGAAATGTTATGAAGAAAAATATCATTTTCTCCTCTTTTCTGGCCCAGAATCTAGACCAGTGGACTCTCAGGCAATCATGGTTAGAACTTCAGCTAATGATCAAACAGTGTTTGAAGGAACCTGTGAGTATCTCTTTCTTTCTTTTTTGTAATTAATCATGTATCTTTAAAAATTAACTTAGTGTATGAGCAAACATACCATGAATGCGCTAGTTTACTTATGTTTTACTGTAGGGTTCTGGGTCTGTGGCTGAAATGAACAGCTTGTTGGATAATATTGCAAAGGCGACAATAGAGGTGTTTCAGCAATCCGCTGATCTAAACAATAACTCTTCTAACTCTGGTATAGGCCTCTTCAATCCAAACTCTCTTGGAAACGCTGACACACATATTACAAGACCGAACTGTAAAAAGACATTCCTAAGGTAATGTAATCAATCTGAACTGGTAATGATGAAACTGTGTGCACTTTTTTTTGTCGGAGCCCTTGAGAGTGGTCTGCCACTGAATAAATACGGTTTTAACTCCAAGTATCAAATATAGTGTGCTGAACCAAAAATCTTCTTCACAGAGTATTAGTTTCTTCTGCGTGCAAAAACTCTGCAAGAAGTATCTCTGCATGCAAGGATTTCTTCATTCTCTTGATTGTTTGCTATATACACACTAAAGAGGATAAACACAAATGTTAGCAGCAAGCTAAATAAATACTCTGAGTCAGTGAATTAAGAATTTGATAAACTTTCTCCGATTCAGAAGCAAAATAGGTTGTTGAAATATAATACAATGTCATTTTATAAAAGAACCCAAAGCTGCTAATTAGACCTGACCCCTTGGTGAACCCTACTATATTTTTTTAAACTTTAAGGAAAACAATCCTTAGTTTAAAGTGAGGTATAATTTCCTCCTTTTTTCATTTCTAACAAGTGGTCCTTCATTGGAATAAACAGGAAATTTCTACTTAAGCAGATAACATCCAGGATGTTAGATCTGGATTAGGAATTCTAAATGATACTTAGTCAAACTGAATTTAAACTACAGGTAGTCCTCGACTTACTACCATTTGTTTAACAACTGTTTGAAGTTACAATGGCACCGAAAAAAGTGACTTACGACCTGTCCTCGCATTTACAACTGTCACAGCATCCCTGTGGTCACATGATCAAAATTCGGGTGCTTGGCAACTGGCATGTATTTATGACAGTTGCAGTGTCCTGGGGTCATGTGAATGCCATTTGCGACCTTCCCAGAGGCCTTCTGACAAGCAAAGTTAATGGGGATTTGTTTAACAACTGTGTGATTCACTTAACAACCATGGTGATTTGCTTAACGACTGCAGTGAAAAAGGTCATAAAATTGGGCGTGACTCACTTAATGACTGCATCACTTAGCGACGGAAGTTCTGGTCCCAATTTTGGTCGTAAGTTGAGGATTTCCTGTATTACTCTAC